ATATATGAGATAGTGAGAGAGAGAAAGTGTGAAGTGACAATTGTACCTGGCAGGTACCCCTACCTGTACGCGCATCCTTACCACCTGTATATTTATACTCGGCATTTGCCCACAACTTCTCTGTCCCCTACTTTTTGTTCACACACACAAGCACACACAGAGATACTTGGCTCCTTCATCTCATCAAGTGACAGGATAAACCATGAAAAAGTTAATTCGCCGCCTCTCTCGCGTCGCCGACTCATCTCCTTACTTTCTCCTCCGGTCGGAATCTCGTTCCTCCCCCACCACCGCCCGCCAAAGCCAATCCTTCCGTATGGCCAAGCCTCGACGCTCCGGCACCGTACCTGAGGGTCACCTCCCGGTGTACGTCGGAGAAGAGATGGAACGATTCGTGGTGAGCGCCGAGCTTCTAAACCACCCGATTTTCATCGATTTTCTCAATAAATCTGCTCAAGAATACGGCTACGAACAAAAAGGCGTCCTTCATATCCCCATCCACGTCTTCGTCTTCGAACGTGTCCTCGAAGCTTTACAAACTGGCAAATCAGCGTCTGACAACCTCCAAGACCTTTTCTCCGGTGATTTCCTGTAATAGCGTATGTATACTTGTTCGTTTTAGTTTTTATCCTAATCAGTTGTCAAGCAAATAGTGAGGTTAGGTGAGATCGTTTGATGCTGATTAGAAGAAATTATCAAATCAAATGTTATCGGTTTTAGTTTGGCTATGTATATACACAACTACGTCAGTAAAATCGATGTTTTCATCTGTATATTATTTTCTCTGATTTGAATTCTCCATCTTACTCAGCAAGTATTCACCGATCTAGGTGTTCGATAATCCGAATCAACCATAAACTTTAGCCTCACCGATTATTTCTCTAAATTTGGCGATTATAACAATGTTTATTTAAGAATTCTGATTCTGAATTTCGTTTCATTTACTTTTTGAATCTGTGATGATGATCGTGTACAAATCATATGATCCACCGGAAAATCTGTGTCTGGTATCAGTTTTTTCGATACAGTAAAGAAACAAAATTCCGCCTCGTATTTCGTACTTGACTTGAAAGTTGAAAGTTGAAAATAGCAAGCAGTAAGCACGCAGCAACCGAAGACCGGAGGTTTCTCGTTCACCTGGACAGAGAAAAGGAATGTTGAAAAAAGTGCCCGTCCGACCAGTTTCTACTTTACACTTCCGTATTGCACGGTCCCTTCAAACTTCTTTATTTATTTTATAATATATTTCTTTTATTATTAAAATCAGAAATTTAATTTTGTAAAACTTAATAAATGAGCTTATAGACTAGCGGTATTAGATGTTATTTTTTCTTCTTGAGATTGATGATTCAAGTCTCGTTTTGACATAAGTGGACTTAAAAGTAGTTTAAGATCAGTTTAGATTTGCCGTTCCATTTTTTTTTTTGTAAACTTAATACATATATAACTATAAATTTTAATGTTTTTAGTTTTAACTAGGTAAAATGGCATTGAACTTTATATAGTGTTTGTAATAACTGGTATTGAACTTTATATAGTGTTTATTATTACATTCAATATGTTAGAATTTGTTTATTAATCTCTATGACTTCTACTACGTAAAAAACAAAAGAAAATATAAAATGAAGCAATAATATAATGTGATTCGGTCCATGTGATCTACGTCTATGGACAAGAATCGGAGAGCTCCTTCTATTACTAGGTTGTTCCAAAAATGATTATAGTGGAATCCCTGACTACGAATACTTATAACCATAATCCTAGCAACTACAGAATCGAAAGTATATATAAGTATCTCCATAATAACTAAATAGGTCCATACCTAACGGCTTCAGGCCTAACGTTCCCCAACCTAATCCAAATACTTATCTCTTTGAAATTGTCATTCAGTTTTTTCTTCACTTTGTTTCCGGTTGGGTTTCTATTCAGGTTATCAAATTTCAAGTCGCACATTAACTATAATAATGTAATGAAAACTCATAAAAAAATATTGATCTATTGAATACAAATAAAAGATAAAAGACTAAATGAAATAAAACATAAGTGACTCCAAACACAAATGAAATACTAGACAAAATTACACGGTTTGTCCTTGTGGTTTGCAAAAACAGACCGATAGAGTACGAATATCAAATATATAGTGACTTTGATAAGTGTACTCCGTAAACGAACCGAACGAACACGAACGAGGCTTGTTCATATTCGTTCGTTTAAGTTAGCCGAACAAATGAACGAACACGAACGGATAAACGAACGAGTTTTGTTGTTCATGTTCGTTCGTTTAACAAATTGCATTGTTCATGTTTTTTTATTTATGTTCGTGAACATGCTAAACGAACAAAAACGAACGAACATAAATTAACAAAGATAAACAAACATAATTCAATCATATATGAACATAAATGAATATATAATATAGTAATGTAATCAAATACAATTAAACATATATGAACATTAAAAGAACTTATATGAACGAACATAAACAAACGTAAACGAACAATATAAACGAACGTTCACGAACATAATTGAACGAACAAGATCATTGTTCATGTTCGTTCGTTTAACTAAACGAACGAGAATTTGTGTTCATGTTCGTTCATTTATTAAATAAACGAACATAAACGAAATTCCCGTCGAACGGTTCACGAACAGTTCGCTGAACGTTTGGTTTGTTTACAGCCTTAAGTGTATTGAATCAATATGTTCTGACAGACCTCATGACCAACCACCTAATTTATCCAAATACTATGTGTGTATATTTTATTACGTTAACCCAAATAAATATTAATTCATAGCAATTTATTTAACAGTGTTTGTTTGATGGAGGTTTTCAAGAGTTATTATTATAAAAGTAGGTAGCGTAAGTAGATTTAAAATTTCAAATAATAATGTGATGGTACGGAAGGAATCATAAAAATGGAAGAGCTGGAAACCTTTATTAAGGAAATTTGTAAATCAATCCCGTGAATGCGGATTACATCTGGAAGTTATTATTATTTTTGTCTAGACACTTTATTCCATAACTGTTTAAAGAAAAAACAATATCTTTATTTGGTTGATGAATATACAATCATAATATATATGTTTTTATCCTAATGTAATTTTTTTTATTAATTTATAAATCTTATGTTAGTTACATATATTATGCGGAACGCTGAATATTTTTTCCAATTTAAGTGCGAACAACTTTATAACTTTATGTAACAAATTGAAACACGACTACATAATTGGTAAAAACATCTAATTCTTTTGCATAAATGTGTATAATCACATTTCTTCTAATTTAAAAATCGTTAATGAGTTTTAATAAGTTTTTATTAAATTCTCTTTTAATATTATGATAATTATTTCATAGTATTGTTGATATCAATATTTTAAAAACCGACTTTTTAGTTGAATCGGTCTGGTGATAGGTTTTCGGTTCGACCGGCGGGTCAACTCGGTTTCTAGATTATTTATTTTATTTTATTTTCCTTCATACATATATACATCAATCTAAATACATAAAAAAGAAACATAAAGTATAATATTAAATAAAAATATTGTTTTAGATGAATATCAACATATCAAAAAACTTTATAACATTTATTATTTATTATTTAGTAACAAAATCACATCACTTAAACTATAGAAAAAAAAACTTATAAAATATCAAATACACATGAGGTCTTTATCATTTTGATGGTTTATAAAGTTGGTCAAGATAAACATTAAAAATCAAGTCTAATGTTATATCATTATCTCATATTCAAAGGATTCACATATTCATTTTCTAGAATTATAAAGAATTCATCTACAACCGGTTATCAAATAAAAGATGAAATGCAACTGGTTATCAAATAAAATATGTACACAGTGATAAGAGAAGTCTAAATAGATGTCAAAAAGATCACTAAAGTTTGTTATCCCAAATGCCTCATTTCAATGTGTTTTTATTCAATTTAAGAGGTTCAACCGACTCGTAACGGTTCAATTTAACATGTTCAACCGGTTTTTATCAAAATTGGTTGTTTTGTTCCGATCCAAAAATAGACATAAAATCGATGCTAGCTGAACCGTTCTCTTCCCCGATTGTTTATCCAACTGGTTCGAACCAGTTTTTTAAACATTGGTTGATATATGTTTGAGCAAATTGTGTAAACATAATTTCGTCCAATTTTTATTTTAGATAACTTATTGCAACAATATATATTCAAAAGCAGGGTCAACCCAAAGAAAGTTCAAAATGTGCCCATGAACAGGGTCCACTAAAATCTAGAGCCTAAATTTTTCCCCATATTTTATATTAGGCAATGTTTAGTTTTTTTGGCCCAAATAGGTTAACGATGCATTAGGAATAAAAAGAAACGACACAAGCGCACAACAATAATTGTAACATCCGGTTTTCGGGTATTTACATCTTTGGTCCTTGTGTCAAGAATTGTTGCATTTTAGCTTGTACACTGGGCGTACATGAGGTACGCGCAACGTACCTGATCGAGACTTGGAACGCGGGACTCTCCCTAGTACGTTGGGCGTACATGTGGTACGTCAGGCGTACTAGCTCAGACCTTAAACCCTAAATTTTAGGGTTTGTTCCCTATTTAAACAACCTTATACCTCCCTTGGACCTTCTAGAGACAACATCTACTCATTCCAAACCCTAATCTCGAGTTACATCCTTGTGTGTGAATATTTTGATGCTTTTAATGATTTTGGTGCTTTCTTTTTTAAGAAGAAGGCCATTGAAGAATGTGGTGTTGCATGCAAGCTTGTGGATCCAGAAACTACATTACCTTGTGCATCTTTTGAAGGTATAAAATCCATACCTTGGTGATGTTCTTTCTAGATCTCTTTAGATGTATATTTATAAACTTTTTGTCCTAAAGCTTGGACCTTTGTGAGTATGGGGTACTCCAAAGCATTTTGGCTGTCATTTTAGATGTTTTAGAGTGCCTTGATTCATAAATATGGTAGCTTGATCGTTTCCTTTGGCCCATGCATAAGTTAAGTGACTTTGAGTGTTGTAAAAGTTAAGGTTTTGTGTTTTGAGCCCTATCTAGCCATGAAAAGGTTTAAAGTCGGTGACTTTATGGGTTAAGAAATTCTATAGTGGTCAGATATGAAGTTGGAATAAGTGACTTATATGATTAAGATATAAAAGTTAGAGTTTTGGGACCAGGAAGAGTACGCTGGACATACTCCTGGCTACGTCCTGTGTAGCCAGGCCCGACCCCGTTTCGCTGATTCGAGATGTACGCCCCGCGTACGGACCAAGAAGGTTGACTTGTTGACTTTTGGTTAAAAGATTGAGGGTTTTGGACCATGGAAGGGAAAAATGATCTTTTTGCCCTTCAGGGGCGTAGTTGTGGGATTTGGACATGTACGTCGGGTTAATGACCTTAATTGATTAGGGTTACTTGTTGTGTTTATTAGGCGGAATCTAGTTACGACAGTTCGGGAGTGAGATTTATCAGTCATCAGTATCAAGTGAGTCTCCTAACTTATTCTTACCTGTGTGGTAGGATAGTTGTGTGTGTGTATATATATATATATATACACACACACACACACACACACACTAGCTGTTTACCCGCGCTAAGCGACGAGTGAGAA